ATTATTTCGTAAAATATATTCCTGGTGCAGGTAATCTTCCTTCTATAGATACTTTGAGACGTAAGTAAACTCTTATGTCTCATAGTATCTCACAGTACTTTGAGTATATTTCGGTAAATAAACAATAAAAGAACAACTAAGAGATAAATGAATCGTCGAAGTAGCCGAATAAACATCTGACAAACAAAGAAGGTTTGTTTTCGCAGTTTTATTGAAAATAATTGATTCAGAAACTGAGCTAGCATGCTTTTGGAGGATAATAGCAATTTTTTAGACGTTGTAATTATTCTATTTTCTTTCAAGCAGTAGTTGACATGTTGAAGCATACCCTGCACCTGTAATAACGAGATAAAATTCTTGATTTGAAGCTGTCATATAGTTGAGTGAACATACTTTAAGATGTAGGTAAACCCTTATGTCTCATAGTATCTCAAAGTACTTTGAGCATATTTGGTAAATAAACAATAAAAGAACAAATAAGAGATAAATGAATCGTCGAAGTATCCGATGAAACATCTGACAAACAAAGAAGCTTTGTTCTCGCAGTTTTATTGAAAATAATTTATTCAGAAACTAAGTTGCCATGCTTTTGGCGGATAATGGCAATATTTTAGACGTTGTAATTCTTATATTTTCTTTCAAGCAATAGTTGACATGTTGAAGCAAGATGAATATGGAATAGGAATATGACTATGAAAGAATATCCCAAATAAAGCGTTCAGCTTGTTGGAAATACTTGCTGAAGACCGCATTTTACCCTGCCACTGCTAGACATATAACTTTGTTGGTGATATATTTATAAAAGAATTCAAAGAATTAAATGCCATCGTAGTAAAAACAAAAACAGCTTTTTTGCACTCGAAAAAAATTTTAATTGTGTATTACAGGTACTTAAAAAAAAAGGCAGCTAAATTGGCAGTAAAAGTTTACCCTGTTATAACCAGATAAATTTCTTGATTTGAAGCTGTCATGAATTTGAGTGAACACATGCAGCATATTGTTGCTTTTCTCAGTAACATGAAAATGATAAATGGAGTACCTTATTTTTCCTACAGAAATATCCTGAAAATGAAATTCTGTCCCGTAAAATACGGCTTTAAATGGTTTCCGTTTCTGAGTTCTGTCCAAAAATTATGAAACTAGTTCAGAGTTCAAAAATATCAAAATAATCATTCGTTAAATATTCTGGGGTCAGATAATTTAGCCAAATAGAGTCCCAAAATGGTGGTTATTTGGGGGATTACACTGAATGTAAATATTCTGGTAAACCAGAAAGTATAAAATGATGTTAACGACAGAAGCAGAGAAAAAGTTCAATAAATTGACACATGCTATCCAACGTAACAAAGGAATCGTACGAGCATATTTGTTTGTCAGACACATTTTTCGAAAGTATGAGAGAGGAAAAATGAGCAGCGCCTTCGCTGGGACTCGAACCACGGACCTCCCGAATATCGAGCGTGCTGATTACTAAACTACGAAGGCCTGCTAAGAAGGAGGGAGAAATACCTTATATACCCCCCTTTTAAAGGGCTACTGGGGTTTTAGGGAACCCAGTCGCCATAAATCCTGGGTGTGGAGAATCATCATCCACCACCCTTTTAGTTCGGGCGCCACTGTAGAGACATTAGGTATTTTGGAAACAGGAGAAGTGAAAAATGAGCAACGCTTTCACCGGGAATCGAACCATGGACCTCTGGAATACGCGCCCAGCGTGTTGACCACTACACTACGAAGGCCTGCTAAGAAGGCTGGAGAAATACCTTATAGTTTCTCTACCAATAGCTGCGAGCATTCATACATCAGCTTTGAAGCCAAATTTATTATTGGAAAGCTTTCCTAAATACAGACTTTATATTTTGAAGACACTCTAAAAGATAAGTTCTTTTTAAAGATATCCTAAGAGTCAAGTTTGTTTTTGGATAACAATTATTTTTATAAATGACTTCTTAAGTTATAAGGTATTTTTCCCGCCTTCTTAGCATGCCTCCGTAGTGTAGTGGTCTGCACGGTGAGCGCGTATTCCAGAGGTCCGTGTTTAATTTTTGTCCCTTTATTTTAGATAAATTTCGACTTTTTTTATGCGAAATTTAAGTATCCCTTGTTATTTCATCAGAAATTTTGTTCAATAACTCCAAATATCAGCGTCGGTCAAAAACCAAGTTATAATTTCTTTGTTGTGGTGTTGGCATCAGGAATTTCTAGCAAATGGCCAAATTATTAACAAAGAAAATAATCTCAGCGTTTTGCGACGTTTGCTTGAAGAAGTTCTTGAGAACGACTTGAATTGTGACGATATAAATCAAGGATTTTTTACCATTATTCTACTCTACTTTAAGAACTTTACTGAAATCCGAGAAAATTAAGGCATTAGAGTTAATTATTACTTCGTTAATAAATATATTTCGTCTTGAAGGATCTGTCCCTAAGACCAAACAATTTATTCTGTAGGACTTTAATAAGAAAACCATTTTTTTTTAAATTTTCATAATTAATTTCTCAGTTCACTTGCTTCATATCAATAATTTTCTGAAGTTTAAAATAATTAGTGAGTTTAAGAAGTTTTCAGTTTGGAAAGAAATGAATGTTTTTCATTATTTAATATATGAAAGTATTATTTAATATTATCTAGCACATATTTTAAAAGACAACAAAATTTTTTAAACCATCTTAAAAAAAGTTTTAAAAATTCAATAGTAGAATTATACATTAAAGGTTTAAAACCAAAAAGCTGAGGAAATTACAGAAAACATTTAACTTTTCAGTTGAAAAAGTAATTTAACGTTTGAACAACCTCACTCCTACACTCACGATTTAACATTTAAGTGACACGATTTAACATTTAAGTGGCGCAGTATTCATTACGATTCCGAGAATGCGTAATTTCATTTTGCGAGCAAAGGATTTTTTTTTTTTTTTTTTTTTTTTTTTTTTTTTTTGCTGTATCGCCTTTTTGCTATACGGCGAAGAAAATCATATTCCGAAACCTAAAATTTCGATATGGCAGTGTCATTTTTACTTCCTTGTACAAAGTAAAAAGGAAGTATTGTAATCGCGAAAAGTCTCAGGCAGCATATTTCAACGAAAATATCCATTTTGACAACTATCGAATGCAATTCAACGATGTTTTTGCGTGATATCTGTACGTAAGGACAGAATAAAAGACTCGTTTCCTCCAAAAAAATTATACAACTGCTTTAAAATGAATTCTGAAAAGAATTTTTCGTGGCGTCTGTACGAACGTATGTACGTACGTACGTATCTCGCATAACTCAAAAACGAGTAGCCTCAGAACGTTGAAATTTTGTATATAGGACTGCTATAAATAAGTATTTTGGTTGAAATCGGCCGCACGAAACGTATATAAATATATTTATATATATATCCACTCTGTTATCCGGCTCAGTGATCTCAGTTCCTTTACTCTTATATGTTTGTAAATTGTACATTTTTTGCTTTAAAAATGATTGAGTTATGTTGTTCTTATCTTCCGGTTAAGGATTTTATGCCTTTAGTAAATCTGTGTGCAATATTTTTAGAATTATCAGCAATTTTAAAGTTGTTTAAGTGCCGCTAAGCCTTTTTTTAATGGCAGTCATTGATGTTTACATTTGAAACAGGAGACTAGTGGATTTGTTGCCAATCTAGAGAAACTTAGCTTCGCAACAACAAAGATAACGTTTCATTTATTATTGCCAATTAAATCATGCTTAATCCTTTCTGGAATATTTTCGAGGAAATAAGTGATTTACTTCGTAATTTTTAATACAGATATTTTGAGGTTTTATGTATTTTTGCCTTGTCGCGAAGTGAGAACTGAATTAATTGAATGAGAAGTACTCAATCGTCTGTGAAAAACTGTTTCTTTTTTATTTTGTTTGCTTAATTTCTTTTATACATCATTCTAGATTTATTATAATATTTGAATAGAACATGTGGCAACGATTAGATAATTCTGTAAATGATATAAATTTTGTGCATTCTGAGTTATAATATGAACGAAATATAATACTGTTAAGTGAACCTAGCGCCAGAGTGTCGCTATGGTAAACAAAAAGAGTGAATTTTAAAGAATGCATTTATTCTATTGTGGTTTATGCGCTGTCGGCGAAGTAGGTTTAATTCAATCCAATAAGTTTAAATGAAATGCAAGAAAAAATGCGTGTAATTTAATATTCCGTAAAGGAAGTCATTTGGTGTATACATCAGATTTCTTAGGTTTTGGAATATGCCAAATTCAATTCTGGAATTAAATTTAAGACTGAGCATTGGCAAAGGAGTTAATTATATAAAATTATATTACTTTACATTAAATTTTAGGTATAATAGGGTATTTACTACAGTTTTTAGAAGTCAGAATTCGTTCTTAATACCTTACATTTTCAAAGAAAATTACTTCGCTCTATTCACTGTATTATAATTTTGCTAATGGCAAAGCTAAATCTTAATTTTTCTTTGGGTGGGAGGCGTATAAATCCGAGTTTTGCTTCTTAACGAAATTTATGTTGAGGAAATGTGTCATTAATGAAGCTTTCTGTCTGTGACTTCATATGGATCAGTATTCAGTTTTATTAAACCACCTATTTGAGAACAACTCATATCATCAAGAACAAAGTAAGCCAACTGTTTTTATTCTGATTTAATTGCACTGAATTTGATTCTGATTATTTAATTTCAGAGATGTTAATAAATCGCATTTGCTTTTATTACGATTTCATTCATGTGTTTGATATTGTGATTAAATTTCAAATGCCAGAAAAAGTAACCTAAATGTTATTAAAAAGTATGAGATCTTATCTATCTGTTACAGATTAATCGTAGGGTTATTGTCGGTAATCTTTGTAGGTACTTTATAAAATTATCTGCAAAGAGTACTTATATTATTTTCACACTTTTTTTATCAATAAACAAGTCAGTTTTCTTAGATTTTTCAAAGTATTTCGATCACAACAGACAATAACTAGCTTATCTAAAATGGAACGCGAAATCCACGTACTCACCTTCCTGATGAAGGAAAGTCCATTTTCCTTTGCAATCTGAAAAGTGCTGTTGCTGTCCGTTGTTTGAAGTACAACCAAGTCGGTATAGAAGTGATCTTTTCCATAATTAGCAGCTTCCCACATTTGATATTTCTGTTTCTCTAATTCTAGTAAATGTTTAACAGTATCAGATTTATTGATACTTCTAGTGTTCAGAATCGCCGCCTCCGATTTTAACACTTGAGGAGAATCGTAAATAAAAACCAATATAAATAAAAGCAAGCAGACATCCCACAAAACTGGATCCATTGACAGAGAAGGAAACACTTTTATTTTCATCCCTTGTTTTGCAAAAACTGGTCATGATTTTGCTCCTGTAAAAAGAGATTTATGATTTTCTAAAAATTAAAACCTTTTTCATAAAAGAAAGTAAATTTTACGCATACAGTTTTAAGATTTTATTTTACAAACTGTAATCTCACACTACGTTAGCCACATTTGAATTTGTTTTTATTCTTACGTTAATTTAAATACCACCAAGTAGCGAAGATTCATCTATCACACAAGGAGTGCTTTTCTATTTATTTAAGAGTTAAATTTTAAAAACAAAGTTAATTTACACTTGTTTAGACCTGATCATTCGTTCTCAACTAAAGGAATAACTCGCGTCCAGTCTAGTAAGATTTTCAGGGCATTGATACAAGCTTCTAGAATGGAGAAACCCTATAAGTTTTATATTTATATTAACAAAATTTTAAACTGCAGTTGGTATACCTGTGACATGTTGATTTACGTTTTACCAACATTTAGCTTTATGATGATTCTTTCGTATATACCTCGTTTCGTCACATACTCGTTCAGTCAAGACAGTTAATTAAAACATTCAGCAATTTAATTACTGTTTAGTTTGGGACACTGCTAAGAATTTTTTCATATAAAAAACTGCAATTAACATATCTGCGATTTGTTTAATTAGGTAAATGTTTAGTTGATTAATTTATTATCTGTAATAATAATTAAAAATGCAAAAAAAAAAAATATCTTCTGCTTTTTTTTTTGGATATGATGGGGCAATAAATGCCCATTTTGATAAATTTTAGGGTATTACTGTTCGAATGTTAACAAGAATATGCAAGAGAAAATTGTCGTTTCGTATTTAACTTATCGTATATAACTTCTCGTATGTATAATCACTTCTGAATTTCTGCACTCTCTCCTTAACAAATAATGGGAGTAATTCTAATAATATGAGTTCTAAATCTACTAGAAATACTCCTTAAATAAATCAGAATTCAAACAGAATTTTATTACAGTTTAAATATTTCAAAGATGAAAAAGAGCATAACATGTAATCAATGAAAATAAAATATTTGTCATCCATGTAAGGTATGGGAAAATATGAAAAGCTGCTTTACTTAATTATCAGATAACACACAAAGAAATCTTCGATAATGAGTTATTAATTTTTAACCAAAATTAATTTTTTATTTCACTTTTAAAAAAATTTAATAAATATAATAATAATAATTAATATTAATATTTGTCAGAAAATATTCTTAAACTTTTATCATTATACTAGAAAATCTTTCAAATTTCGAAGTCAATTTTACTTAATTGTCTATCTCATCGTTGGTATTATACAAGAAAATTTAATTTTTTTTTTGTCTTATTTTTTGAATTGTTGACTATCAAAAAACAGTGTATCCCCTTTCCTCTTTTGCTTCAGATTGCGCCATTGTCAGTAAATAACATCATTATATATATTTCAAAATATTAGCTTAAATAATTTTGCCGAGAATACTTTTTATGTTAATTATCTGTATTTTCTTAATAACTCATTAATTAAATATATATTTTTATTCTATTTGATACTTCATGATATATATATATATATATATATATGAAGACATTTTTTTTATGCTCTTCTAATTAATTTCTAGTCTCTCTCTATCATCCGTTTACAACGCCTTCAACCGTGAATAAATGCTTTGATTACCAAACTATCAATATTCATTCAGAAGCCGTTAAAATTAATAGGGAATCGGAATTCAAATCTTAATTTTCCTTTATTTTCCCTCCTTTATCCTTCCGAAGAAAAAGTGAAAACTTTTTCTTAATAAGAAAGGTAATCATATTTTTCAAGCGCAAATATCATATAATTTGTTAGAAGAATTCAATTAGGTATTATATTAGTTTTAATGTATAAAACATTTTCGCACTGAAATTAAAGAGTTTTTATAGTATAAAAATGGTTATATTTATTTATTTGTCATTATCGAAATTACTTTTACAAACTACATTCTTAAACACACTCTATGAAGTTTCTTATTACTACCATTAAAGATAAAACCAACATACTCACTTAAGATAGCAGCCATTAACAAGATATCAGCATCTATTAATGAGACCAAAGAACCTAAATCAGAAAAAAAATAAGCAGATTATCTTTCTTCCTCTGCTAGAAATATTTTTCTGCAAATTCCACCGCTTCCTTCCTAAACAGAAGAATGGCAAAAGGTGTATCCGGTCTTCTTTCACGTAATCTCAAATCAAACCACCAGGGAAAAAGCTAAGCTTTGAGATTTCTTCGCTTTCAAATGAAATTTTCGAACATGTTCTTGTGAAATGAAAGCGAAAAAATGTCACGTCGAGATTATGTTTCCAAATATAGCTTTATTAGGGATAAGAAAAAATTACTTTCATCTTCAAATAAATACAGTATTTGATTTAAAAAAACATTAAAAAATGAGTTTTTATTGAATTCAAAGTTTGGGGATGGAATTTTTAGTCCAAAGGGGCTTTTTCCCTGAAGAATTATTATTTTCGCTTTGCGAATTTGCGTCGGAACCCTATAAACGGCGTATCACTTTTCAAATCGTTGCCCAGTATTATATTTGAAGAAATTAAATAATGAAGAATCTGCATAAATGTATGTCTGTTTTTCGCATTGTGATAAAACAACGGTACCTAGAGCCATGCAATTTTGAATGACGTAATCCTACTGCGAATATGGGCATCTGAAAGCCCAAATTTGAAATTTGGAATTTCTTTTATTACCGATTTCATATTTTGTAAAACTTTAACGAATTTTTCATTAACAAACCCAACGATTTAAAAGCGAGAAATGGCAACACTCTACGGAGGAAAAAGAAACCTTTTCATCTCCACCACGCGGAACTATGTATCGGAAATTCTAAAGATAGGCTCATTTTAAAATTATTTTGCGACATTGTTACTGAACTGAATTTCATGGTATAAGTGCAAAGAACATGATATTTAATAAATAAAAGTAACACACAAAACGTTAAAAAAACGCCTCTTTGGATGTAATTTAAAATCTGAAACATCACAGTTTTTTTTTTTTTTAAATTCATTTTTTCATTTCTTTTCTTTTCCGTTTCTTCTCTCCACCCTAGGAGAGAAATCCAAAATTTCCGCGCATTATACTTCTAAAAGAAATAGAGAAAATTTTAACATTTTTACACCACGTTAATATTACCTAAAAGTTTGTTTTCAGAATGTTCCAAAACTCTTTTCATGTTATCATCATCATTAAATCTCTTTACACTATGTTCAAATTTCAGTTCAGAGAACAGATAATAATCACTTGAAAAAAAGTCTGGACTGTAAGAGAGGAAGTTAAGTTCTTCCACACTGCTTCTTTCATTTGCAATGACACGTTGCTGTTTTAAAATTGCTGATAAAAGTCGGGATACCCATCTGGTAGAGACTTCTGGACATCTGGTTCTTGTGAAGATTTTCATGTATAATGGGCAGTTATTTTAGATAGATGCACTCTTACTGCTATCTCCTTGTACTTTTATCGGGTTCAATGTTCCGCCTTACTTTTTTTGGGAACATGCAAGGACCTGACTCGGAACAGGGAGCTTACTAAAGCTATGTTCAATAACTGTGGGAAGTAGACAAGATACACAGGAAGGGTATACAAAACCCTTTATTTTTCACTCTTTACAATAATTTCCGTACTTCGGAATACAGAGACCAACTACTTGTGGTCTGAACGTAAGAATATAAAAATATAACTAAACTCTAACTTAAATTTGGAATAATCAACAAGGGCCTACGTGTAAGATTGGCCGGATATTAACAGGAAGCCGTATGTAGTACAGAGAACTGTTAACACTACAATACGTTTAAAATTATCACGAGGATTAAACCTCTGGCCTGGAAGGCAAACAGCAACCGAGTAAAACTTCTAAGGCAAGCGGCCTGCTTCGACTAACTCCTTCCTCTCTCTCGCTTGGCAAAAAGCCACAACTTAAGTACTTGGCGTTCGCCAGACAAATTTTGCATAAATAAGTTAACGCTTTTAATTCTGGCCGGAAGTAGAAAATAAGAAGTGATAGTAAAGATTTAAAATAAAATAAACGTTAGTAAAACTTAAGATCCTTACATACTTCCCGCCAGAGTTAATTAGTTTGAAAGATTCTAAAACGACCTTGTTGAAAACTTTTAGCTCTAGAATCTAACGCGAGGCCAATCTTTTACAAACATTTCTCACTAGAAACTAGAAATTAAAAAAAAAAAAGTTTTGTTTTTACAATAGCAGCTCCATGGACAACCAATTTTTCATCTGTACTGCATCTAAACAGGAGCTTTTATTCAAATCTGGTTCCTTCCAGAGATCTGGAAGGAAAACTAGTTTAATGAAATGTTACACAATGAAATGGCAAGTAACATGCATATTTATATTTCTCTTAACATTCTTATTTCATTCATGACTATTTTAATTATCTCTCCCCGTGCTCTCTGACATGTGTTGTAAAAGAACACCAAACACGAATGTGTTTATGTATATGTGTTCAACACTGCCTCCTACAATCAAAACACTAACGTGTTAAAATTCAACATGACAAGACCTCGTAACACACCCTATCTTCAACTCTAAACCCTGAGGTACTATTCTGAAAGTGGCTAACTCTGAAGTGTAGCGTCAGAGAGCCTAACTACATTCATTCAACCTTTAACACATATTCACCATAATTTGGTCTTTTTACAGTCACACGAATAAAAAAATTATTACTTTTACCATATCACAGTATTTCTTAACATTTAGAATAACAGTTCACATTGTATATAAGAACATATTAACATGCCGTTAATTTTACGCAATTTAAAACATACATTGTTAACTTCTATTCTTTTCCAAGCAAGTGCCAATTCTTCTACATTGAAATACTACATTTCAAAAAGTCTTTCAGACTAAAACTTCTTTCTTGCCAGAATGTTTTAAATAAAATTTATACAATAACTTTTACAATATTTAAGTATTTACACATTCCTATTATACATCAACTTTAGTTTTACGTGCGAGTAATTGAAAAACATAATACCAAAATCGGTAACAACTCATTTCTCGCCTTTTTGGCGATAAAGGTAGACCTCACATGAGGTAAAACTTCTTGAAATCTGCCACTTGCAGTAAGAATGAAAGATTAACTTAAGTTTGCAAAGTAACATAAAATTTTACTTATCTTTGTGATATTCGGACATTCTTTTCTGAGCCCAGTCCTGGAAGGTAGAGAAAGATTCTCGTTTGATTTATCCTCCTTCATGTACGGGCTCGCCCCTCAGTTTCTTCCTCTAGAAGCTTTCTTTTTCCTCCAGTTCGGTCACCCTTGAATACCTTCTTTTTCGCCTCTGCCTGTGGTCTTGGCCGTTTCATGGCAGCTGGTCTTGGCGGAACCGGGACACTTCTTTCTCATTCCTGCTTGGACCTCGTTGCTGGCCGTTCAAATTTTCCTTGTATCTTTTCCTCCGCCGCTAGTGGCCCTTCCGCAGTTCGGCGACATTTGCTGCGGAGAGTCCTGTCCGATGAGTAGATCTTCCGTTTGGAAGCCGGGTTATAGTTGCCGTTATTTCTCCTGGCTTTCTTTGCATTCGTCTTACTTCTCCCTTCTTCATTCTGGGGGTGTTCGTGAGCTCTCTTTTCTGGACGGTGGAACGGCTTCTTTTTCTTGTTACCTTCAATTTTCCAACGGGGAAACTTTCTTTTCAATTGCTCCTGCCTCCTAATGGCTTGTCCTTGTGCTTGACGTTGTTCCACCTCTGGAGCTTGTGCCTGCCGTGTCTGCCGTGCCGGATCCTGCAAAAGATCTTTGAAAATTTGCATTTTATTACGATCATAGTAGGGTTTTATTTGATCAATGTTTGCGGAGCATGTTTCACCATTCCTGGCTTTTAACACCACTACAGCGTGAGTTATTTTTTCTATGACATATGGTCCTTTAAATCGTGGAAAAAATTTAGCAGTTTTATCTTCTGGTGCTGAAGAAAGTGAATGCTTAATTTTTAACACTTCATCCCCTACTTTATAAGTTACTCCCCGTCGTTTCATATCATAATAAAGCTTCTGTTTTCTCTGTGCTACTTCAGTATTCTTTTTTGCTTCTTTAATTAATTTTTCTATATCACCCATTTTAAATTTTGGGGCTTTTTGTTGCACATAAAATAATTTATCTAACGGCGTTATAATCTTTCTGCCTAAAAATAACTCAGCAGGAGTTTTGCCCGTTGTATCATGTTTTGCGGTCCTAAGGGCGAAAGCAAATTCATTGACATAGTTATCCCAGCTTTTATGAAAATTTTTAACATAACTACGGATAATTTTCACTATATTTCTATTGACCCGTTCCGCTATATTTGATTGCGGCCGATACGGGACCATTTTTAAATGACGTATGCCCAGTTTTTGGTACATGTCTTCAAATACATTACTTACAAATTGAGGACCATTATCCGATATAACTTTTAGGGGCGCCCCGTATTTTAAAATATATTTATTTAAAATAGAATCAGTAACTAATTTCGCGGAGGCTCGTTTTAAGGGAACAATTTCGGTCCACTTACTAAAATGATCAACCATAACAAGGAGATAGCGACTTTTATTTAACTGACTTTTTGGGAAAGGGCCCAATAAATCGATGCCAATTATTTCATTTGGAAATTCGGATTTAATACTATTTAGAAACCCGGCCGGGCGGAAATTAATATAATTAACTGCTTGACATGTTGGGCAGGACTGGACATACGCCCTTGTTAACTTTTGCAGTTCAGGAAAATAGACTGCTCGCGTACGCGTTGGATAGTTTTTCGAATACCAGCATGAGAAGCTAAAGGCTGTCATGGAACTCCTGCAGGATATTTAATCTAAGACTAGCTGGGATAACAGGTCGAAATTCGTTGTTGGAATTCGTAGTTTTTGTATAGAATAATAGACCATCTATTAGTTCGTAATGGGCCGCCCTATTTCTTATCGCCACAATATCTTGGTGGCTAAAATTTTCAGGATCCTTTAAATAAAATTGTTTCAAATAATTCTACTTGCTTTACCAATAAAAAAAAAAAAAAAAAAAAAAAAAAAAAAAAAAAAAAAAGATGCACAATTTTTTTCCTTTATTTCGAAGGGGGGGGAAGTTGTAAATTGTTTCAGCAACCAATTATTTATCAGCATCGAATTACCCATCACCAACTACTATTTTGTAAAACAACGGTACCGAGAGTCATCAAATTTTGAATAACATAGTCGTCCACCTGAACCTGGACACATCGAAGCACAAATTTGGAAGGTCCACTAACGGTCGAGCGGTAAAGTTGCTGAATACTGGTGGTTCGACCTGAGTTCGATTCTAAGTCAACAAGATGACCGTAAAAGGGTTTACGTGTTTTTCCCCATGTGAAATATGAATACGAGTCAGTTTCCCTTAGAAAGTCTTCCATGAAGTCATTCCTTCCCTTAGGTGAATACTCCTAGCTCGCTGTGCTGTAATCAAATAAACCAAACCAATTGATCTTTAGATCTCGACAATTCAATAATTCGCAGCGACTGTTTTCTGCTATCTTCAAATATTTTGGACACAAAGATGTCTGAACTTCGAAATATGACAATGCTGTGTGCATATCTCATTATTATTTTTGTAAAAATATCTAACTTGCATTACAAAGATTTTGTAACTTTATTTGCCGTAAGTTTATCTTCTCTGGAACTAAAGTTAAACAATACAAAGTAAACTAACTGAGGAAAAATTTCAATTTATTGCATGGCAATCTATAAATATACGAAAAGAAAATTCAGTGAAACTTCTGTAAGAATTTTATTAACCTTTTCGAACGATTTTGGCATCTGATCACTAGCCGGGCGGTTAAATACAGATCTAAATGGTGGTAGTTCGTCTCAGGTTCGAACCCAGGCTAACGGGTGAGGCTACAATTTTGGTCTATATAGTTTTCATGTATAACGTGAATATTAGCCAGTACTCCCTGAGGCCATATCTGCCCTTAGACCGGTAGCTTTCGCGTGCTTTGTCGTACTCAAGTAATTTAACCTAACCAGATATCCTTTCCAGAGCTGGTTTTATGTTAGAATGCTGTTCAGTATCGTCATTTATTTGTTCTATAAGGTATTTCTCCCACTTTCCTAGAGTGCCTTCGTGGTGTAGTGGTTCTGCACGCTGGGCCGGTATCCAGAGGTCCGTGGTTCGATTCCCGGTGAAGACGTAGCTAATTTTTCATGTCTTCGGCTTTCAAAAATACCTAATGTCTCTACAGTTCTAAGAAATGGTAGACCGTTTCAGGGTTGGTTTTCTAAAGAAAGTGAAAGTTTCACTATTTATTTTGTTGTTTATTGAACTATAATGTGACATAATATAGTGGAAAAATTATTTAAGTAAGGATTCCTTTGAATGAGACAACTTTCAAAAATTTTCCTTCAAATTTAAACGATCTGTTATTGATTAAAAAACTGAATAATTTAAAAGCAATAAACACCCTTCTTAATAATTTGAATCATAATTTTTAGGTTTTAATAAGTTATCTAATTGCTATAAATTAAAATATATTTAATTTATAATGTATAAATTAAAAAAAAAATCTGAAATGTTTCAGATTTTAAATTACGTCCAAAGGGGCGTTTTTTAACATTTTGTGTGTTACCTTTCTTTATTAAATATCATGTTCTTCGCACTTAAACCATAAGATCCAGTGCAACAGCAATATCGCAAAATAGTTTTAAAACGAGCATATCTTTAGAATTTCCGATAAAGAGACTCACGCGCTGGAGATATAAATGTTTTTTCTGCACAACGTTGCCATTGCTCGCTTTGAAATCCTTGAGTTTGTTAATCAAAAATTCGTCAAAGTTTTAAAAAATAGGAAATCGATCATAAAACAAATTCCAAATTTCAAATTTGGGATTCCAGATGCCCATATTCGTAGTAGGATTACGTCATTCAAAATTCGATTGTTCTATGTACCGTTGTTTTATCACAATACGAGAAATATACATACATTTATGCAGATTTTTCATTATTTAATTTCTTCAAATATAATGCAGGACTCTAACATTTTGTGGCAACAGTTTAAAAAGTGAACCGACATTTATGAGTCCGACGCAAAATGCCAAAACGAAAGCAATAGTCCTTCGGGACTCAAGTCCCTTTGGACTAATAATTTTATGAATATTTCAACTTTCTTGTAATAACTAAAAAAATACTTTAGACGTCAGATGTTTTATTTTATGATGCAGAATTATTTGTTATTTTTATAAAGTTTTACAACTTTTTTTAATATCGTTTGATTTTTGTAATTTTAAATAATAAACTCTGCTTTGAGATACTAGACTGCAAACTGAGGGTTCTCAGTTTAAAAGTATAGTTCTTTTTTTTTTTTTTTTTTTTTTTTCCTTGCTCTGGTGAGATATTCTTGGACAGATATCCACGAAAAATACGAATCTAGCAGACATCAAGGATAACATTCAAATTTTCAGGGATCATTTCTTTACTGATGGCATACAATTGCATACAGTTTTATCCAGTACCTTTGGTTTATGCTCTAGGGCCAACTACGGTGATGTAAAGTAAGATGCACTTGCATCATCACCTGAAGGCGAAGAGTTCGGCTGATAAAGTCATGAGACGAGATGAAAATACAGTTACGTCGGTAAGCAATGAGAAATTTTAAAAGGAAGTATTTAACACCACTAGAATGCCCTAGATACACTAACTTTACATTTCAATTTTAGGAGTGAATTCAATCAGGTGATTTTCGATGAAAGTGAACTTGCAGTGATGAAGATACAATTATAATACAAAGTTCTTATTAAATTGTTGCATTTCAAGTTAAGATTTAATATAAGCATGGCATAGAATTTTTTATTTAAGTTTCTTGTGCAATTTGTTGTGGGCGATCAGATTTGAAGAGTAATAAATCACAGTCGGTAATTCTTGGAATAGGTGTTGGCGATAAGTCCAAAACGCGTTTAATAAAAGATAAAATTGTAAATCAATAAAGGGAAATGTAACATCAAATAAATAATATACACAAAATCCATATCCGATTTGCCGGAGGCAAAAATCCAATAACTTGCTTATGCCAGATAAATATTAATGCAATATACATCTAAATTATATACATATTTACAGTTTACTACCAACACGGGTCATGAGGAATTGTTCTGTCTTTTGACTGTATTTTCAATTGAGGGGTTGTAATTAGTTAATTCTTTTATAGCTATATATGGAGAATTTTTACATTTTCAAATCAATTATGAGCCGTAATAAGAATTTGATCATAAGTGGAATTAATTTTAAGTTCTTTGCTGATGAGTGAATTTCTAACAAACCATGGTGCATTTACTATGGCTCTTAGAATCTTGATTTGTAAAACATTAATTTTTACCGTTCAGTGCCCATTAATCTGTGCTCAAGATGGAACCGAATAGAGGATAATGGGCCTAATTAGGGTGAGGTACAGAGTTCTTTTGGCCCGGATATTTAATTTTGATTTGCGTCCAATTAAGCTGTAGATTGCCATGAAAGCTGAATTCGCACGATTTGTTACTTCATTTATATATTCCTTGAAGGTGAGTTTTTGATAAATTATGACTTCCAAGTATTTGTAAGAATTTGCCATTGGCAGGACTTCATCATCAATTTTAATATCAATATTAAATCTCACTGTGGTTTTGTACCGACGATATAGCACAACACAGCTCTTAGGAGTGTTTAAATCAATTTTCCATATTTTTCAACCAAAGTCAAATGAACTGAAATGAGTTTATGACAGCGGATAATTTTTCATTCCAACTCTAGTGTTTTCTCAAGGAAAAGGACGCCTACAGACTTTTTGGCATTTCGCAAATGAATACGGAGAGACGAAAATATTCACTTGCTACTTTGTTCTCGGATTCGGAGAAAATATTTTCTCTCTGTAATATTCTGTTTGACAGCTAAAATTGTATTTGCAGGGAATCGTGGTCAGAAACTTTTGGACTCTTCTTTTTTGTTTTCATATCTACACATCTCCTTTAAAATATCCTTTCATATTCTCATACAGTTTTTAGTATTCTCTGTATTCTTATTAGTAGTATTTTAACCATTTTACCCGTTTTTAATTGTGTACTGGGAAAACAATGGTCTTTGGTTCTATCATTCCTTGAAATTGTACACTTTATTATACATTCAGGAAGTAAGTTCAGTCGAAGCCAGCTCAACCGAGCTATTTCTTAGATTTTGAGAAAACCGTAATTTCAGCCGGAGCTCCAAATTAGAGGAGGTCAGTTATTTTACTTTATTTTTAACAGTTTATTATTAATTTCATAAATTATTAACTTTTTAGTTATCTCTTTCCATTTTATTGAATACTAATTTTGATTACTTTATTATTTTGGTTATTAATTAGTTTATATTTTAATTATTTTATTATTTCCGGAACTTTTAATTTTAGAAGTTAAGCCCTGATTAAACAGCAGCTACGCAATTTGTTTACTAGGTAAAGAATGTTTCATCTCCAGAATTAATTAGAAATACATTTATTGATCATACAGTTTGTCTTTAGTGAGCAATGATTTTTTAATTTTATTAATAATTTATTTTAAATTTTTAGCTAATTTTTTAAAATTTATTTTAAAGAAATTTGCTCATCAGTATTTCCTTTCAGAGAAAAGTGATATTGCGTAACTGCCCTTTAAATCTTGTTTATTTCTATGTTGGCATCATGCTTTTGGAGGAGGCAGATCATCAGTGAAGAGGTTTCACTGCGCTGCTGACGCTGGTCGTTGTGCTTGTCTCGTGTAAAGTATTTCATGTTTATTTATTAAATGGAAAATTTCAAAATTTAGCCTTTTTAATTTCATTGTGTTAAAAGTTGTCAAACTTCGGCAATTGTTATATACTTGCACAACTCTGCACTAACATGGCGGGACAAACATTACACGATAGACTTGTAGCTGCAAAGCATACTATTTATGGGCAAAACGTGGAAAGAGCTGTTTGTAAAGCCACTACAGAAGAAGTAATTGGACCTAAAAAGAAACACCTTGACTGTAAGTATTAATTTTTTATATGTATACTATGTGGAGGTAATTTAGTTTACCTTCTTCTGATATGTCTCTTAATATTGAATGAAAATTTAAGATTTAATTAATTAAATTCCAGCGTCCTATTGAGTAAAGAAATGCCTTAGAAAATTAGTGATGTGTTCAGTGTGTCTCATGCATTACATATATAAGTAATGTAATCATTGAGCAATGTTTACATAATTTACTAATTTTGAGTTTCCTTTCAGGAAACCTTATATGGGCCCTATAAAGGTATATTTTAATACTTAGTGCAATAATTAATAAGTATGAAGTGTGTAATAAAAAATTTTAAATGCTAAAATAAATATAAGATGACAGCTCATGAAATCCTTACTGTGCATACCTTTTTGGAGGAGAAAAACATTATATTATCCCAGCAATCTTGGAAACTTCTGTTTGATAGGGCACGTGAAGTTTTTGCATACATTTTACTATTGATATTAGGGCATTTGTTACTTTTGGCCCATAAATCCTGTTTCACTGTACATGTGTAATCATGAAAGTTTATCCCTGTCGTTTATTTAGTACTGTTTCAAGAAGTATTTTCATGAAAATGTTTGAAAATATATTTCTCATTATATTTCACTGCTAGGAAATTTAAGGTAATTGTTTGTCTGTCTGATATGTCATTTTTGATTATCATCGTTGTAATATATAAATGTTAAAATTTTAACTAAAGTTTACCCTGAGATATTTTTATTTCTGTGATGATGGTAAATTTACTTTGTCTAAATTATGTATATTGTATTACATAACCGCTATTTTTTTATCAAATTTGTTTTGTTCCAGAAATTTATCAAATTTGTTATTTAAAACCAGTTGTTCAGTTTAACATCTAACATCTTGCAACAGTTGCTCAATAAACTCATTCATTGTCGCAAAATTAAATATGTTAAATATCTCAAAACTGAAAGTGAAATAGTCAGGATTCTTTGGGTTGATTATTTTTGCATATTTTGCTCAATAATACTATTAAAATATGACTTGACTGCAGTAAATTTGAAAAATTGAATGGTAGTTATGTCTAAATTCTTAACGATTTTAGCAGATCTTAAATGCGAATTCATTGTTTTGCAGCTGAGGGTTTCTAAATGCACAAAAGGAAAAGTTGTTTTATGTGAGAATGTTTAATCCTTCATCACAAATAAAAGCTCAAACTAGTAGATAGAAATTAATATGAATATCTTACTCATGGGAGAAACATAATTGATTTCTTCCATGAATAATATTCTTAATAGTGCAGTCCTTCCCAGAGTGTAGACTGGAAGACAGTTTTTTAAGGTCTTGAAATATCTTAAAGTTAATTCTTAGTATATTGATATACATATTTAGGCTAACTCTTAAATATATGTCAAAAATGCAAATCTATAGTAATTTTTTAGGTTGTGCTGATATGTATTTCTTCTGTCTTTGATTTAAAAATGTTTTTCGTTTATGCTTGTAGTTCATGTTTGTCTGACTAATGAAAATTTTCACTTTTAAATTGAAGTGATTTTTCTTTGCAAATATTTATCATGCATATTATTTTTAATTTACCATTAGCTGAAAAGGAAACTATGCATTTTTTTTTCTCGAGAAAAAAGTATTTTACCAAAAGAATGAATTTGTGAAAACAGGCATAATAAGCAATCGTATTTTGGAAAAGAAACAATTTGGTGATGCAGTATCGGCAACTTTAAAAAGAAGAAAAATCTTTGTATTGTGAATTGGTTTATAACATAACATAGTACAGTGGTGTTAAATCATTATGGCTATGCGACTCCCATATAAATGCAAATGACCTCCCAAAACAATTTTATGATCCCAGTTAGAGTATCAACCTTTAAGTTATATAGCATCAATTCGGATTTTTTAGGATTTTTATCTACCTTGTGACATTAGTATAAAGTTACATGATATTAAAGTTACATTGAAGATTGCAACCCACTGTTTGAATACCGCTGGTTAAGAGGATCACAAATACCCTTTCTTACAGCACAGCAGGGATCAACAAAATGGTGACAAGGTACTGCTTGATATAATCTGAAATCCAATTTAGCAGAGTTCTTGTTCAGGCGTAAAGTCTGTTATGATATTGTGTTGGAGGCATAATTAGCAGCAATTGCTGATCTATAGCAGCCAGAAAGAGCTTGTAAAAATTAATATTTCAGTATGTGTTATGATTTCAATAAATTGCTAACAAAATTGTATACTGTAATAAATTAAATACTTTAAAATTTATGATTTCTTTCAAAAATAACAAGCATAATGATTATTTTGCAATGAAAAACTACTTGTCCAAAAAAAAGGTTGACAAGCTCAGTTATATTTGTTCCTCGCGCATGATCAAATCACTGTTTAATTCTCGCTAATGCTGCAATATCCCAAATTGACATTCTCACCAAAGCTGCTGAAGAAGACTACCATTCCTTCTTTTAAAATGTCATTGGGTTTATTCGTAAAGAAGTTTCCAATAGGCTGTTTGACAGTCTCCAAAGAAATGAACTCCAGGTTATTTAGAGAGTTTTGAAGTGACCTGAAGAGATGAAAATCTCAAAAGATCTGGTGAATTTGGGTGGGGACACAAACTATGCCAAGTATACTTGATAAGTCTTTTTGTCTAATATTCATTGAAGTGAGAGACCAGGCATTGTCATGTTGGAAGACAACACCTCAATGATTGGTCAGTTCTGGGTGTTTTACTTCGATTGAAATTTATAACTGCTATCTAAATGTGAAGCAGTATTTTTCTGTGGGAACAATCTTCTGAATTTGTCCAGTTTGGTGGCAATAATTTATAGCACACAATTCCTTTGTAATTCCACCATTTACAAATCATTTTTTAGAGATGCAGCCCAATTCTCGATGATGTTAAAGTATGTCCATGTGGCTTACCCACAACATTTTTCATGTAGCATAATTGTAAAGTATCTGCTTTTCATCTGTAGTAATGAACCATTTCAGAAAGAAGCCACTTTAATTTATTTCAACAAAAAATCACTTGGCAGAATTTGAGCAAGCATATTCTGCTCAGCATAAAATATGGAGTACCCATACATGATTGCAGCTTACTTACCCAATTTTCTTCAAATAATTACATTCTGTACTTTGTGTGATAGTTCCTGAACTAATTAGCATGTATTTCCAGCAATGACTTCTTTTAACAGACCTTTGTTTATTGAGGAACGCCGCGGCGCGCAATGAATTGGAAGTTGATCTGTCAGCACTATCCTTATCTTCAGGGCAGATGTTTTTATTTTATTTGGCTTATAATTCCTTACTAAATGTAGTATTTCATCTCAATGTACTTCGTCTTTGATATGATTTAAATCAAATTCCTCGTCATTATAATTCGCTTCCAATAGTGAAGAAAGTGACCCAGAGGTTATTGAAAACGAAAACATTTCGATTGACAAATTAGTCGGTATTCTCAACACAGCAATTATAGGACTTGAACAGTGGAACTTTGTAACTAACAAGAAATTATGTCTATTTAATAGAATTAAAGAGAAAGTATTAGCACATGAAATGAAGCAACTTACATTGAAGGAAATGTTTAATAAAGTAAACAAATAAATATTAAGCTTTTTCTTTTTGTAAATTTTGATATCCTTTAGATCATAATTGTTCTTTATTTCATAAATTACGGTTTCATATTTTTAATTTTGTAATTTTTGCATTCCATCTTACCAGATTTAAACTGATGATGTATAATCCGGAATCACCACCGAGTCCCGACGAGTCCAGATTAACGACTTTTGACTGTATTTCTCCTTCAACCCTTTCAAGGGTGGTATATAAAAGAATTTAAACTGTGTTAAAATTTTGTATGAATTGTAACTTATGGACCCTAGAAACACAAATTGAGGCTTAAAAAAATCTAAAGTGATATCCTGAATTTTGAGGGCTAGTTTCTATTTTATACCACTATCCTAGTAAGATAATTTGGATTACATTATGAAGATTGAAGAAAATGAATGCGTATTATTAGTAAATATTTATTCTGTAAAATTCTTTTACTTCAGCAGTACTTTCAAGCTATACCCATGCAAAGCTTGAAATATTTACATATGTATCAAAATAGCTTGTTTAATAAATGTTTAATAAAGTAAACAAATAAATATTAAGCTTTTTTTTTTTTTTTTTTTTGTAAATTTTGATACTCTTTAGATCATAATTGTTCTTTATTTCATAAATTACAGTTTCATATTTTTAATTTTATAATTTCTGCATGCCATCCTACCAGATTTAAACTGATGATCTATAATCTGGAAAAATCGATAATCCGGAATCGCCGAAGTCCCAATGAGTTTGGATTAACGACTTTTGACTGTACTTTCTGCTAATATCCAATCTATCTGGGAAAGAACACCTTTTAATCTTCTTTCTCAAAATCCAGACACTCATCTCTAGAGCTAAATGGAGAGTCACTTGAAGCCTCTTCTAAATCATCATCCAGGTCCTCGTACAACAAATTGTCCTCTGTACCATCTGCTGCATTATTAATGCCACACTTTTCTCGGTTGAGGGTGGCCAGAAATGCCTCTCTGTAGCCCTGTTTCCATGTTCTTTAACATCCACATTTACATGTAGCTTGTATGTTTTGTTATAGCAATGCTGATGCTGTTTTTGAGCCATAACTTGCCAACATATTTAAGAAAATTGAACAATAGAAATTTTAAACATTTAAAAGTCGTTCACAAAAATTGGAAAGTTTAAACAAACTGAGATGTGATCGTCGATGACAGTTGCATGCACATTTACTGAACTCTATGCAACTGTAATATTCCCTCACTCCTCAAGGAAACAAACAAATCACGCAACTCCGAATAAAGGAAATTTCGAGAAATGAAGGTAATAAAATCTGAGTATCTATGTATAAGACACCTCATTTTTCAGACCTATTTTCAAAGAAAAAATAGTGTCGTATACGCTGCCAAATACGGTATACAATGCACATACACACACATGTATACACTGAGTGATCAAAATGTTAGGCATTATCCAATGCATTGGTGCACTTTTTAACTTTGATAACACTCAATGATATTTTTCTGGATATGAACTCAAGTTGCTTATATCATTCTTAAGAAACATTAATGCATGTTGACATAATGGCAGCTGTAATTTCCATTAAACTGTATGAAATAATTCAGCTTTGAGCTTTACCATTTCTATGCTTTGAAGTGATCTTTTCTCTCTGTCCCCGAGGTCAAAAGACTGAGCTGACTCTAGACTTAGTACGAACTCATTGTTAAAAATATGCTCATAAAGTTATCGGAGATCCATTCAACGTCCAACTGACATTCCATTGTCCCACTGAAAATGGTAATCTGTATTTGGAAACATTGTAGAATGTTGTACACATAAACAGATGTATGTGATCAGTAACATAATTTAGTTGAGATATGGTCCTGAGAGTTCCCACACATATTGTGACTTGCTATTTTGGTTTCAAATCACATTTTAAATTCATAAGGTGGTTATTCAGACACAGTCTTTCTTTGTGAAGAACCTTTTTCTTGTAGCTTAGCTGCTGCTTTATTTCTTAAGGAATCATAAGCCATGAAATTCATTGCAGTTAAAAATAATAATAAACTGATTAAATGAAAAGCATGTTCACAGAAACAGCAATTACAAAGACAGTTGTTGCCAGGAAAGAAGCTAAGCAACACTTGGGGCACCAGAAATATGAAAAAATAGAAAATTGCCAGATGGTATTGCTTTAATAAAAAAAGTATCTAGATTAATTTGTAATTTCTCTTAACATTAAAGCATTTGCTTTGTTTTTATTTTAATTTTCTATGGATAACTAGTTCATTACTCCCCCTTTTTTAATATTTTGTTTATGTGCAGTACTTGTAAATTTCTGCTATTAATTTATGCTTAATTTGTTTTTAATAAAAAAATTTAATTTTAGCGATATAATTAGAAGTGATATAGCTCATATTTCACAAAAGAATGCTTTTGGGGAGATTTTTAAATATTTTTATACCTATCACCATTTAATTTCGCAATTACTATTTTTAACTTGGTTATAACAAATTATGAAAAAGGCTCTTAAAAAAATTTTTTTAGATTGTATTTTTTTTAGTCTAAATTTTGTAGGCATTATCGTAGGTACTTAAGTATTATCGTATTGACTGTGAAAGTTGGTTACTGTCAAATCATGGAAGTTTAAGAAGATCTCGCCAAAGTTGCACTAATCATTCCTGCAGAATTCTGAAAGAATATTGACGCTACTTTATTTAATAAACAACTAGTATTTTACCGCTTCATTTTTGCACTTTGTAAAATGCTTTTGTTTATTACTGTGGTACTGTTCTGTTATTGGGACTTGATTCAGAAATGTATGTATGTATGCACATGTGTATGGAGGTATGTGTGCATATGTTTGTATATGTACACACAACATAGATTCGTATGTACCTATATATATGGATACATGAGCACATACATCCATACATTTTTGAATCCGGTCCCCCCCCTGATAACAGAACAATATCATTTCTGTTATTTGGTTAGGCTGCATAATTTTACTGGAAACTTTGTTTAGAATGTTATGAGTGCAAACTGCCTGCTGGTAACTGTTCCAATCTAGTTCTGTTTTGCCAGCCATATTCAACTGACTGTGTCCTGTCCATTAATACGCTTTTTTTTAATGGCTTGGCCCCGTAACTTTAGCGTCGCTGAACAGTGCTAGTTTGGTCTCGAATCCCGGCAAACGGGCTGGCTGCATGTGCGTTTCATAGTTTTTTTCCCATGTATAATGTTCATCTAAGCCAGTTTTGCTTAGAAAGTTCTCCACAAAGGCATCCCTCCACTTAGGCAAATAGCTTTTGATTGCTTTGCCATAATTAAATAATAGAAACTCAGAACTTAAAAAAAATAATCGACTGCTTCCCGTTTTGTAGAAAGCAAATCTCAAATTTTAATATTTTTTTTTTTCAAAATGCAAGAAAAAGATATAGAAATAAGTTAATTTTAATTCCTGCTAATAAAAGCAAAAAGTAGCTTATCAAGAATCAATCAGTGTTACATCAAACAGAAGCACAGAGGCTATGAGTGTGTTATGTCGCACTTATTCATAATTGCCGTTAAATTGTGCTGCATGGCAATAGTTTTACAATCAGAATAATATGTAAGTACTGTAGAAAATTTTAAATTTTGCTTATAAGTATCAATTTTTATAATAGCAGCTTACATTATAGTAAAAAAAATTTTTTTTTTAGATTTAATTCACTGCACAAATGAACCTAATGTATCAATACCAGAGCTTTGCAACTTCATTATTCAAAGGTCACAAGAGTCCTCGTGGGTGATAGTTTTTAAATCTCTCATAACTGCTCACCATTTAATGTGTTACGGTAATGAGGTATGTAGTATATTTATATTTTATTTACATCATGAAATTATTTATTATACTACACCCTTATAATTTGCTGACAGGTGATCTTTACATACCTTTTCATTTCAGTTAGTCTAATATTTGTCAAGCTTTTGAAAAATATTTTGACATTTTTTTACAAGTCATTAAGCAGTAAGTATATAAAATGCCATTAGTGCTGAATAAGAAAAATTAAAGAAACTAAGCATCTGTAACAAATCAACATTACCATATTTTCTGGCATATGTATGGATGAATAAGATTCACTGTGATTTATCAAGTACGAAAATTACCGTAATTTCGCACGTATAGTCCGCAGACACGATTTTATATAAAAAAAATTTCAAAAATCGTCAGATAGTCCGCACCACCGGATAGTCCGCGGACTATATGTTCGAAATTACGTTTTTTTAATACCAATGCCAATATCCCCCATGCTTTTTAAACACAATCCTTTTGTTTGCGCCAATTTCTCACCGCTTTCTCGTCCACTTCAAAATAACGGGGTAAAATCCTAGTATACTGTGGTGCAGCCTTGGTGCGACTTTGAAAATTTCCGCCAACACCAAAATGATCCAAAGAACGCCTATATATATAGTATACACATAGTATATGTATATATACTATAGTATATACTATTGTTTAACTATATATTTTCTTTGAATGACCCGTTAACTGCTCATCGTATATGTCCCGTTTTCTCTGCTCATCATAAAGTCGCCAAAAGTAGCCAAATCTCATGTGCACCGAATACTAGGATTAAACCAATACGGCCCGCTTCTCTATTTCCATCTTTTGCAGTTTTCTCAACTACCTTGAAGTTTAAACTCAGCAGTAAAACTCCACTCCGGCGATGTTTCATCAACATTATCGAAGATGAAAGACAAAATACGAAAACAAAATACTGTGCAACGTGCTATCCTCGTGATAAGTGGTAATGAAATGTGACCTTCAACCCCACTCACTCGGTGTTGCCAAACCACGCTATAAGTAAACGAAATCACGCTTTTTTTTCGTACTCCAGGTACTTGCTACTAAGGCTTCTAAAAACGCATATAAACGCCTCCTTGACGCATCAACTACTTTTCCCCCCTCCTGGCAGGCAGTTGCGCTAAAGCAGTGCGAAGGACACTGGGATACAAGACTCTGGTTGCGCTAAGTAAGTGCTCATACAAGACTTTCTTTGGCTCATATCCCGGCATCGCTTGATGCGCCAGCCTGGATTTTAGGAGCTCTACTTGCTACTACTCATTCGTTCTGCACTATGCTCTATGGTTTACTATCGATACAATACATACGAAAGTTTTCTTGGAATCTCGCGCTTTTTTATATTTGATCATCGGCAGTTCACGACACAGCGTGTTTTTAAAAATTTCAACGATTTTAACTGTGAACAACCAGCGTATTATCCGCACTGGTGGATAGTCCGCAGCTTCAAAAATTCGCATTTTAAACACAGATAGTACGCGGACTATACGCGCAAAATTACGGTACTTGAATCAGATGGAAAAGGATCAAAGTACCTATTTTAATAATAACAATTTATACAATAGAAATGGAACTGTTCAATGAAAAGATTAGGAAATCTATTGGCATTTATTCATTTTCGAATTCCAGAAATTTATAATCCATCTAGCACACTGCTAATTCCATACTTTTAACCCCCGGGAAGGCGCGTGGGGTGTATTATACCCCAACCCTACATAAAAGTGGAATATTCCTAACTTGTGAAACTGAAATTCTGTGCTGCTTTCAGTAGCTGAGTTTCTAGTTGTGGTTGACTTTCCAGAACCGCTTTTTCTTTGCCTGTGTGTTTCAGAAAAAGATTTATAGGTATTTTTGTTGGAACTGGGGGTATGACACACCCCACGCGCCTGTCCGTGTAAAGTGTTTTTCTGACTGAATATTTAGTTCAGAAATTTATTTCTAGAGTGTAACAGTTAATATTTCTACTCGCAAGTGATTTTAAAGAACTTGACATTAAATTCTTAAAAATTTCTAACTGCATTATAGTAAAAAGAATGAGTCCCTATGAACTGGAGATGCAACGCATGCGAGATTTATTAGAAATATTTCAAAGCGATGAAGATTGCATTTCGGAAAGTGAAGATGAAACTAAGAATATTTTCTACAATGTTTTGGTTTCGAAAAAGATAAAACATTGATTCCTGATGTTCCTAAAAAAGAAAAACTGTTCTTATGCTTTATATAACGATCATTATATCATTATAACATTATAACATTATATAACGATCATACTATAGATGATACTATTGGAGAAAATTAAACGTTAGTAATTATATGTTTTAATAATATGACTAAAGGAGCAGTGGATATGGGGGATGAAATGTCAGTCAATTATTCAATTGCCAGAATAACGAGAAGGTGGCCAATGGTAATTTTCTTTCCTGCACTGAATGTTGCTGTAATAAATGCTTGAATTATATTACATTCAACTGCTAATCCACCAACAAGAAACAGAAGTCTGTTTTTGAAGGACTTAGCATTGCAATTAATGAAAAAAGTATTTAACAAAGATCAGAGATTAATACTTTTCCAAGAAATTGACGTACTGCATGCAAAACAAAAGCAGAAGTTTTGATGAAGAATTAAAACGAATACATGAAATTAGAAACAACTAAGTATGAAAGATGTGTTAAATTTTTTGCCCTCGCGCCAAGGACAGAAGAACGTGAATGCAATGTTTAAAATGTGAAAACATTCTGTGCCAAGAACACATGAATGTATTTCATTCAAAGTGTGAAGAAATAAAAAAAGCATGGTGTATTAGATATGCAATGAAACTTAGAGGTATGATGTTTATTATTTCATTTATCTTAATTTTAACTCTAAGATTATTTTTTGAAACCCAATTATTATTCACTTATTTATAATAGAGAACACACACACACACACAAAAAAAAAAGTTTTAAAACTAAATAATACTATTTTTATTGTATTTTAAATATTGGGATATGCGATACCCCACGCGCCCGTTCTAGTAACTTTCCTTGGTGCGCCTTCCGCCGGGTTAAAGAAGATTTTATGATAGTCTCACTGTTGACTTTCTGCCAAGACTTTCTTGCCTACTCATTCCACTTTATGCACTCCTCATGCTTAAATCCCTTGAAAGATTTATTTACTAAAATGTTCAGAGATTGCAATTAAACAGTCAGTCCATCAGGAATCACAGCAAGATGTATCTTCAATTCATTATTAAAGGATTTTTGTTGATTGTGTTATATGGGCCTTAAACTGATTGTGTACTCATAAAGACAGTTTCTTCAGAAGTCTACCTAGATGCCTGTATCATACCGTTTATACCTTCATACCTTTTCCCTCCATCTATCCTTTGGAATGAACATGAATGTAAGTTCCTTGTGGAATTGTCCATTTAGGCAGTAAACTGTCAGCACAACACACAAGAACAGCAGTATAGCTCATCTTCTCATCACCAGAAGTCTTTATCATTACTGTCTTACTTACATAATTACATTTTATCATTACTTACATCTTTAACATCTACTGTTCTATTTGATAATATGTTAAACATCAAGGGTACTTTATCCATGTTTCCTATCTCAAAACACATCTTGTTTTTCAAGTTTATGATATATTTGTGGAATTCTATAATCTCTCTTTTTATAGTCAGATGACAATTTTTGTGCTGTTATAGTTCCCATACATATGCACAGACCATTTCTCTTGATCCATCCTCATTCTTGCTCAAGTTAAACTCATTTTTGTTGAAATGGTAATCCTGTTCATCTTGTGATTTTTTACATATTTCTTAACATGTTGAAGCTTTGCTCATTTAGAAGCATATGAATGTAAAGTTCTTTTACGTTCATTCACTAAATACATCTTTTGCTTTCTTCATTCTTGTATCCTCTTCTCAGCCGGAGGTAAACCAGAATGCCTTTCATCTGTTTCCATGCTCTGAAGCGTAATTCACAAATTCAAGATTGAATGCAATACTGTATTGACAGTCTTTTCTCTTTAAATCTCATGAGGATTTTCTAATTTTTACTTTATATGCAACAATTAGTTTCTTCTTTTAAAAGTAGATAGGAATACTAAAGAGATTGGAACTTTTTAAGCATTGAACAATACTCTAATATTATTGATTGCCTGTAGAATCTGAGTTTATCACAAGAAATATTCTAATTCCAATGTTATGTGTCCAATTATTCTAATATTTTAATTCCAGTCACCAAGAAACTTTCATTTCGAGCTAGTAAAAATTGGCCAACCAGAAGAGACCTTTTATTTTGAAGTGTCTGACATGATACAAACAAACAACTATGAGTTGTGTAGGCATGGCAGCTCTCATGAATTGTTGCTTACATTGTGAAAGGTAATAAAGAGTAATAAGTAAACTCTACCTATTAGTAATAAGTAAACTCAACTTTTATTTGCAACCCAAATAAAAGTTGGGCTAAGCAAAAAGAGGGAAAAAGTTATTCCATACTGCTCGCTGCATGCTGGAATCGTAATGCATCTTGTTGTTGGTATGGCTTGATGTACATTTAATGTGCAAATTACTGAACCAGAAATTTTTATAATTTTATCCATTTTATAAAAATAATACATCTGTAAGCAGTTTTGCATTGCATTTTGCTTTCAAAGCCATCCAAGACCCATGAAAATTATTTTCGAAGCTACTTTCATCATTGTGGCCCATTTGAGAGCTAACTAAACTGCTTTGTCCTACGTAGTATACCTACATATACGCTACATTATATATATATATGATTTATTTTGGAATTGTTTCAGAAAGTACTGTAAAGGAAATATTAAAATACCATTGCCTACTGGCTCAAAACAGGGTTACAGACATTTGTAATAAAGACAACTTTTTATGCCTGTTGAGGGAAAAAATATTTAATGGGATTCCTGACAAATCAGCTCGCATCCTAAAGGATGAAATTGTACTCTCAGCCTTCAAGACACAGGCTGATTTTAGGATGCATTTTGGAGCAAAAAGA